TACAACCCAACTAAGCAACTTAACGAAAAACTAGGCATTTAAAGATACGGAAGCAAGTTGAAATGCAAAAATTATATAGAGTTCCCATAAACTCCAAAGGTTTAAACAAACTAGCCAAACTAATGCAGAAATTCAACCCCTTGAACCTAAAAGTCATTGTACCAAAACTCTACGAACGACAAGTCTATGAACAAGGGGTACAACCCTGAAACTAAACAAACACCTTTAACAAATAGTCTAAGTCCGAAAAGGGTGGACTTAAATAAGAAAGATCCATGACAGCCTAAAAGAACTAGCTCACCCTTGAATCCGGTCACGCTCAATAGTCACCTAGCTGAAATCTATCAATAGACGCCTGAAGATGCCCTGTACTCAACAAAGAACAAGTAAGTGCAATATCAATACAAAACCACAATGTACTGGTAGAATCACGCAGCTATCCCATTACGTGAATCACATACAAGTAACCACAACATTATAAAACAGACATATACCAAACATATACAATATTTAAGTTCATCTTTTTCAGGATCAATGTAGCATCACACGTTCTCAATAATACACATTAGTTATCAATTTAGAGCAACATACAGTCTTCTAATATCAATTATCATTAGATATGAACGTAATCATCACAAGTAGATACAAAACACAATTCAATAGTCCTCTTACGGAACACAATTCAATGGTTCTCTCATGGAACACACACCCAAACTGTTAGCATACCGAAACGTGGTACACGATTCAATATTTATGCCGAAACGTGGCAACCGATCCCATATCTATGTCGAAACGTTGCAATCGATCCCATGTTTATGCTGGAACGTGGATACCGATCCCATGTTTATGCCGAAATATGGTAATCGATCACATGTTTATGTCGGAACGTGGCAACCGATCCATTCAACAAACCACAATCACAATGTATATCCTCACAATCATACAACAAGAGGTGATTCATGGCATACAATTGTTCAATTATCCTCATTTACGATTAGGGTGATCAATAATGCAACATTTGCATACATACATGCATTATAATGAGCAATTACAAACATATATCACACCAACATGAAATCACAACCATCACCTACCTCGAATCCAAGCTTGAATCCCCTAAGGCACTTGAATCTTTGTTTCCGAATTATTCTCGCTTGTTCGTGATCTAAAAATATACAATTAACGCATGCAAAGATCAACAATCAAAGGTATAATTATCCGGATTATAACAAACCCAATAGCCCTAGACCAAACCTAAGATTCTAATACCCAATTAGGGTTTTTTCCTACCATTAATTTCAGATCAAAGCCTTCCCTACATAATCACCCATGAATTTACATTCTACGGATCGAAAGACGGATTCGGGGAGTTAAAACCTTACCTTTAGACATAAAAAAATGGTGAAAAACTGTCAAGAAAGCACCTGGGGTCGTTCCTTAGCTCTAAAAGTCAAAAAGTGCAGAATAAAACGTTTTTGAGGTTTATTTACGACCTTAAGTCGCGTTGGACCCGCCACATCGGTCTTCATCCAACTACAGTGGCCCCGCCCCAGCGGCTTATACGGAACCAGTGAACTATTTTAATAATTCCAAGACCTCATTTCACAACACACCTTCGACCAACGACACTCAGAAACTACCCGTTCACGCTAAGATCATTTTTGGGAGTTATACTCGCCCGAATTTAATTTTGTAAAGTTGTACGGGTCCCTTAACGTCTTAGCTATCTATTCATGTAATCAAAATTATAATTAAATC